TAGTTTTAAATCTAGTAATTATTTTGATTTTAATAGATCTGTACCCTGTCCTTTATATGATAAAAACCATAAGAAAGAAAATATAAGAAATCATATAGAAGGCGAATGGAGAAGTGGTGAATATTGTGGTGAAAAAACTTATTGTCTCTATTGTTATAAAAATAAATATCAAAATTCAATCTAAATAGTAATCATAAAAGCATAGGTTAATAAGAAAACTCTTTTATTTCTATTAATTAATAATCACAGGCTTGAAGAAGTGATCCTAAAGAGTCAAAATCATGTAAAAATAAAATAGGGAAAGGCTACAAGACCCTTTTTTTATTTAATATTTTTTGCCAGAATGACAATATACAAATAAAATAATACAAATATGAATAAAAAATCAAAAGCTATAGTAACTATGAGGTTTTATTACTTTTGAAAATATTATAGGATTGATACCCAGATAACTAGATAGAATTTGATAATCAACAATTATACCTACACCAAATAGCTTTTTTTGATCACTTTCTGAATTAGAGTTATTAGTCTTGGAGCATTACTATCATTGGTCTTGGAAGTAGTGTTATCATTAGTCTTGGGAGTATTGTTGGTCTTGGAGGTAGTACTATCATTAGTGCTCATTTTTTATATCTAAATACAAAAAAATCATAGTAAGTAAAAATTCGGGTTTCTTAGTCTCTATTAAATGATACATTACTTTTAAAAATAGATAAGTGAATTAAGTAAAAACATATATGAGCAAAAATTAACATTATTGCTAACTTATCTTGTGAGCAGAAGCTTGCTTATTTTATACTTCATATTCATTCAGTCTGAGAACCTGTTAGAAAAAAAAATACAGGATTAGTTATTATGTTACCCAAATTTAATGCTAGCTTTTTTCTACATAAAGCAACTTCGCTTAGATATAAGTTCCAAATACTGAATCTATTTTGTTATTTTTTTAGTGAAATTAGACCTCTTATATTCAACAATCTTTCCTGCGAAGTAAAAAAGTCAATGATCTCAATGATCTGGGAATACCAAGTTCTTATAACATATGAATTTTGATAAAACTACTGATAAATAATGTTATACTCTTTCCTCTTATGGCCTATTTAAGTCTCATTTGTGATTTATTCTTATCATGAGATCATATATAATAAGAAAAGGGTTTAGTTATTTGTAATATTTGTTATAAATCAAAAATTGATTGTGAAAAATTAAATGCGAAGCATCCTCCTTTCAGGAGAGGTAATACCACATAAAATTTAATGGAGGCTATTGATTATTAAAGCTAATCAAAGTTTTATTGCTTGTTATCATCATAAAAATATAAAAACATTAAAATTAGTTTATACTCTGATGACTTCTAGAGGCCGTCAGGGATATGGAATTTATGTGTGCGGATCCATGAGACTGTCAAATCATATGATACTCTTGAGATTATCTATACATCAACTATAGTTCAACTAGAATTCAACCAGACATTGCATTTTTCATTTTGGAGACTCTTTATCTATCAATTTGCGAATAATAACCTATTTAGCTTATTTGCTCTAATAGCTTTTCTTTATCTAATAAATATGAGAAAAAAATACAGATAATGAGAGTTTATTTTTTGAAGTGCAGACTTCAACTCGACTTCAATTTGACTTTAACTAGAGTTTAACCTAACTTTAACTCCTTAGATTTGATGATCGCTCCTGTAAATAAGAAGTAGGATTAAATCTTCCAAGATCTGAGAATTCAAAATCCTTATAACATATGAATTTTATCAAAACTACTAATAAAGAATGTTATACTCATTGCCTTTTTAGACACGAAGTGTCTTGCTTCGCAGAGTCCTATTCTTATCATGGGTTTGTATAGAGTAAGGAAAAGGGTCTAGACATTATTCGCATTATTCATAATATTCGTTAATAAAAAAATTAACTATAAGAATTAATTCTCATGCAGGCCGTTTTAATCCTATAATTAGGTAAACTATCACGGAATGATCACAGAAAATTTTTATTAAATTTATATGTGCTATCACGAAATGATCACAAAAAGTCACAGAGGTAATTAGAAATATTCGGAAATTTAAAATTCTAAATTTTGCTATTATTACAGAAATAAATTTATATGTATTAACAGTTAATACGTAGAATATGGTTGAATTAAAATAGCATATATATATTTATAAAAACAAACTTGCTAAATATATTAAATTTTAGTTCCAAAATTTCGATATATGTTAATCGAGCATCTCGCATAATGCTTGTGACTAAACAATCTAATTAGTTGGAATGTATGAATATTTATAGCTTTTTGTTAAGCTACTACTATCTCTTGGCTAAAATAGCACATATATATTTATAGATAATTTGAAACCTACAGTCTAAAATAATGCATTATTAATTATATTCTTTTTTAGATAAACCAGTCTCACAAATCTTCATGACCCCCCACATAGTTTTTTATGAAATGTCTATTCTAAATTTGTAGATTCTAAAAATGCTGTCAAATGATTATAGTGTCAAATATAGCAATTTTGTATCGAATTATCATAGCACCAAATGTAATTAATTACTGGATAGCCTATTATTTATATCTAGATATAGTGTGATGACATAGCCATATGCATGTATGTATAAAACCTAATTTTTTTAATAATCCATACTATAAACTAATATTCCACTTTGTATTTGATTATCTTCATGTTGATAAGGGATTGCTCAAGTTATTTGCATGAGTTCATGGAATTCAACAGAGCTATGATAATCCTGTGCTTTAACGAAGATGATTTATTTGGTCTATGAAAATACATAATCTAACTATATCTTTAATAACTAAGAACTTTTCCTAATATTCACTTGAACTTATATAGAGTAATACTGACCTGTAGAAAAATATAGAAAATATAACAAAAGGATACATAACTCTTTCTAGTAATACAGTAGAATTAAAATATTTAGCTTATAGCTTTTGAAAAATATTGTTTTAGAGTTGTAGCTTGTATTATATGTCTAGAAACTTTTGAATAGAAGTAGCACTGTTAGAAGTTTTTGTCAAGTATTTTTGTTTAGTTATAGAAAACAAACATATACTTGTCCTATTATTATATTCTTCTAAAGTAATATAATTTTATAGTCATTACAATTTACTCTACAAGCAAGGTTCTACTGAATATATCTTTTGAACTCTCTTTTTTACTGACTTCATTATTCTTTGAGGCAAATTAGAAAAATTAGCTACTCCTCTTCAAAAGATCTACTAATTGACAAGCTATATTAGGAATTAGTCTATTTATATTTAGATATATGTAAACAAATATATATTAGCTAAAGCATATGTTAAGAGAAATCTGTGTGGATAGCTACTTAGATTATGTTCTGAAGTAAACTCTTCTAGGTACAGATTAAATTTTTTTTAAGTTATAATGAAAAACATAAGAGAGTAGCTATATATAATTTTTACTAGAGCTATACTAGAAGCAGTATAGTATATTATTTTATTTTCTCATTTTTCATTTTTCATTTTTCATTTTCTCTCTTTATTTTGTTTTTACATATCTAGTCTAGTTTGTTTTAACCTATAGCAAGTTTTTTTTATAGTCTAGATATTTAGTATAGATTATTGCTACTCAGATCTTATATAATTTTTAATTTTTTCTCATATTAGTTAGATTATATTCTATCTTTTTTCTTAAAGTAGTATTTAGGATTAAAGATAGAATAGTCTAGCTAAGGCAGTCTTAATACAGGCTAGTAGTAGTCTTCTATTGATCAAGACTAGATAGGTATGTTTAGTTATATATCTAGTTTTAGGAGAAAAATTATGCTACTGCAGCAGATCACACTTAAGCACTATTTGAGTAGTTGAGTGAATTTAGAATTGCAACAAGATGAGCATACCTTAAATTAGAATTTTTTTTCTTTTTATATATTTGTTTAAATATTTTAAGATATTCATCTAATAAAATGAAAGGTAAGATCATCTAAGTTTAAAAAAAATCAAAAAAAAAATCAAAAAAAAAGAAAAGAAAACTTTATTTCTAATAACAAAAACTAAAAAAACCAAAAATAATAAAGAAATAAAGTGTAAAAGTTTGCCTAAAAGAAGACTAAAAATATTAAAATATTATTTATTGTTAAGAACTAAAAAATAGTTATTATTTAGAAGGATTATTATTATTTATCTTACTTTAGAAACTATTATTATTTTAACTCTACATCATATTGAGACAAAAGAGAAAAAAACTTGTATTTATATCTTTTAGTTACTAAAAATTAGTAATCTATATTGGTATTCATAGTGTTTAAGTAAACTAATAATTATTTTTAGCTATAGTATTTATAATGTTAAAAATAATATTTACAATACTCTTTGTATAATATTAAAATAATATATATTACTAATTATTGATTAATAATATCTAGAAAGTTCTAAAAAGTTCTAGAATATTCTGTAAGGTTCCAGAAGTTGCTATATTATTTCAAAGTCCAAGATATTGCATAATATTCTAAACTATTCTACAATTTTCTATATAACATATCAAAAAACTATAACTAATTGTTATACAAAAACTATTACTAATAAAACTATAACAAAATACTATACTAAACAAATAATAAAACTTATTTATACTGCCATCAATACTCTGTATAAGTAACAAATACAAAAACCAAACAAAATAAATAAAACTATAATAAATATACTATATAAAAACTAAATCAAATAATAAACTAAAAATAAAATAAAAGAAATTAAAATAATAGAAAATTATAAACATAACAGTATGCTAGTAGAGCATTGAAAAAATAAAGAAAATGCAAAAAAGTAAATAGAATTAAATAAATATAAAAGCTATCTAAGCAATAAAGAAAAAGCACATGAGAAGTATAAAACTTGAAAACTAAAAAAAAAAGTTTTAGGAGTAATTCCAAAAAACCGTATATGTTGAAAAATTGGAAATTTTTGCAAAAAATACAAATCGACCCTCCAGCACGCCATAATCTTACAAATTAAATCTATAATCCAAGATGTAAAATACCAATTACTTGGAGTTTGTTCGCTTTTTGATCATCATAATTTACAGCTCTAATTAAATCAGAATATATATCTCGAAGAGTCTTGGTATTTTGAACTCTTCATTGAGATATTTATTGTCTGAAACACCCCTAAAGAACCTTGCACCTTCTATGGCTTCAAATTCAAGAAGCTCATCAGTTGTATATATTATTCCGTCAATTTTACGGCCAACGAGCTTTCTTTTACGTATGTTTGCTTTTCGACTTCGATTCTTCCGGTTAGCACTACTCGATGACGATGCATCAATTCTACATACAGTTATAAGCTATATTAACAATGCGAGTTGATGATTATTTATTGTTTATACTAATGGAAAAATAGTTAACCTTTTAATATCAGTTCCCAATCGAATATCTCTAAGACAAAAGTCAATACATGTTCCAAGAAGTGCAACTGTAAACCAATGTTCGTATTGTGTTCTTATTAGAGAGGAATTCATATTTTCATATAGATTTACAAGTGTTCGAATGGCCAATTGAATCCATTCTTTATCGTAGTGTTTACGAATATCGTATTTTTCTTCTTCAAGAAATAATGTCATCGTTACTCCTCTAAAGTACCTTTTTTATATTTCGCCAGTTCTTTTATAATGTCGTGTAAAATAATTGGAACTCCAATTCGATCCTTTGTTAATTCTTTCCATTCTGAATCGATAAATAATGCCTTGATATTCTCATTATCAAAATCCACAATGTATGAATGGGCATGGCTAATCAAATAATTGTCAGTATTGTGAATGATAGATAAAAGAATTTAAACTCTAAGAAACTTACTGTTCATAATCCATGTCTTTACAAAAATTAAAAAGGATATCCTCTACTATTTTTCCTGTGCTCAATTTCAACTTCGTAGTATCTGGGATAGCATTATGAGTCTTCCAAAAAGCTACTTTGTCGATTTTTGAAGGATCCTTCTTACTTATATGATCGTTCTAAAAGTATCAATGTGAGAAAAAAGGTTAATTCCTTATTTCCATTTATAAACATGAATTTTGGTAACACGAACTCACATTGCAATCCAAATCAAACATTGTCCTCGGAAGTTGATTCGTCAGTGTCGCTTGTATTACAAAAGGAAATAAAATTGCAGTCTAAGAAAAAATGAAGAATATAATTCAAAGGATAATCATATATACCTTGGCATATAATTCGAATAGTTATCGTCAAATACAGAAGAAAAGTTCTGCGATTCATATTCGATCTAGAAAGGAATCACATCAATTAGAAATTTGCAATGAATATTATCAATTTACTTATTGCGAAGGTCATACTTCATCGAATGTTTTTTTGGAGTCGTCACTTAATTCTCGAAGTTTCTCAATAAATTTTGTTACCTTTACGCCAGAGGGATCTTTGAAGAAGGCGCTGATACTGTCAACTGGATCCTGTAGAAATACAATCAATATCAGGAATATGGCACAAAAATATTAGCAATAAGTATATAATATTGATGTCATGCGTTGATAAATATCGCAAAATTTGTCCAATCGGGCAAATGATTGGCCGACAGAGCCGCGCAGCGACACATGCCAATCAATCATTTACATGATAGGACAAATTTTACGATATGGATAAATATATATATCGCACCATGCTACACACTTATATATCGCACGCCATAATTTAGGTATAACGTAAAATCA